CTCTGCTTTCGCCCGGTTCCCGTCCCGTTTCGGCGGGGAGTCTATGTTGCAAGCTAGTTCTTGCTTTACCAGACTTTAAGCCCACACAAGCAAGCAAGCAATAAGCCGTGCCGCCGAGTCCCGTGGCTGTGGCCTTCTGGCAGGAAACTACGGCCGCAGCTCGGCAGCACGGGGGCGTCGCAGCGTGCCGCCGCCGCCGCGCTGCCCCCCGGGCACGGCGGCGGCGGCGGCAGCAAGCTTGGGCCCAAACGCCGTGCCGCCGAGTCCCGTGGCTTGCGACCGTAGACCGTGGGCCGGAAACTGCGGCCGCAGCTCGGCGGCACGTGGTTCTGTTCAAATCGCCAAGCGTGCAGCAGCGCCGAACCACGCTTCCCGGCCTCGGCGCATGCCTTCAGGGGCCCCCTATCGCTGGGCACACCCCTCCAACACCGAACATGCGCCCGGGGGGGGGAGGGCGGCCCGGGTTGCCCAGGCCAAAGTGGGCCGCCCTCGAGCAAGAGGCGGCCGGTCACTTCCCGGTTTTAACGTCTAGCTTTAGACCATTATTTGATCTGCCCGACGCGCCAAGTGCAGTACCCCCCACTAGTAGTGAATGGGTCCCGGGGAGGCCTGTGCCGAAGCCTTGGCGATTCTATTAGGCGTTCCCGAAGGAATTGGCTTGGATTGGCGCTGAGCCGGTCAGCTATGCCGCGTTTGTCCTCACAAAGTTTCGACATGGCCGGTCTGTATGCTGAATGAAGCTTTGTAGGCTAGTAATGATTACTAATGTCCTGCAAATCCAGTTTCAAATCTAAGGCCGATTGCATTTGCCAGTCGCACCAGCATCGGCACCCGTCGGCCTGGCAGGCCTAAGCTGCTAAGGATCCCCACGTCCCCCACCACGTTGTGGGGGTTGCGTGTCCGGCAGGACGGGGAGCGGGGCCAGGGTGGGGTGACCCTGGGACGCTCAGCTGGGGGGAGGGTGGTCGGAGCCATGGAGAGGGTGCTCCATGGTCCACCCCCTCTCTTGATGCCCCTTGATCACGTGTGCCCCCTGCCCAAGGTCTGCTCACGCGGCCTATCATAGCGGGGTGACTGTAACACCGTTTGGTTTGGCAGTAATTTATCAAAAGTGCACTTACCACAGGAATGGGGTCTTGGCCTTGCAGCTCCCGACACCCAAGACATGAAAGAATGAACTTCACGCGAAACTGATTAGCAGGACATGGCACAGCAAGATGGAGTTCCATTCAAGTTATTTTAGTGCAGAGTGTTGCCAAACCTCCGCAGCAACACTTTTTAAAATCTCACTTTCTCATTGCCATTCAGCTCAGGAGAGAACATAACAGTATCTTCATCCTGAAAATTTTCTTGATCAATCCATGTATCACCATAGGAGCTATCATAAAGTCCAAACAAGCCGCCATCCTCCTTCCAGATGCCAGCACGGAAGGATGCCTTGTAGCCCACGGTGCCCACAGTAACACCGATAGGATACCTGCATGAACAAAAGTAGTTCACTTGAATTCTTGTCCAGCTACCAGTTGCAGACACCTCTTTTTGGAAAGTACTCGCCAGAAGTCAGCTTCATGCATGCAATGCAATGGGGTGTACTGCTCTTCTGAGACTCCAGTGGTGAAGTTATAATGCTGAGTATAGAAGTAAAACATGTCCCCTCCTGTGTTCAGGACAGATACAGAGCATGATACTCACTAGATATTCATGTCAACAGCAGAAAACTTACCGCTCCACCATTGTGACCAGGAACCCTGCAAAAGCAATGGCAAATCATATTCAGTTGAGCGAGAAATGACAGAAACAACAGATCCCACTGGCTGACCTGAATATCCATCAAGTAAACCCATTCAAGAATAATGTTTGCTTGCCCATTGCTCGCAAAGGTGGGGATTCCATAAGAATCGCCTCCAGGACAGTACATGCATTTGGTTCCTGCATGTGTTTCTTGCATTTGGGGACCCTTGCATTGGGGACCCTTGCAAGCACTTGCACTATGCTAGCTTATCCATATAGTTAATATGAGATTGTTCTTACCACTGAAAAGACTTCCAAAACGACCCTCGTATAGGCGACCATACTCGAAACATGAGTCACATTCATTATCCGCTCCACCAGTGCAGGTGTAACAGGTTTCATGACAGCCTGCATAGCAATGCAGCAGGATATGTCAGCCTTGTTGGGTGGCGTGTTGTTACGCAGGCATGCCACAAGTTCACCTTCGCAACTGTACTCATTTGCATATCCTTCAACAAATCTGCAGTAGAGGGTCCACAATTGTGAAACAACTGGTGATTGACCAACTACTGTGAACCAGACATTGGCCAACTCACCCGCACCACTCATCACAGTAATCACTACTCCCCTTCAAGCTGTAGTATCCGTCTGGGCAATCGTAGTCACTGCACCGGCAGCCCACGTCAAAGTACAGTTGCCGTCGAGCATAGGGAGACTCTCCTGCTGAGCTGCTCCTGCCATTGGCTTGCAGCAGCCGATGTGTGCTGTTGTTGCCAGTAAGGTTTCCAGCAGGTCGGGGTCTGGGCGGCATGAAAGCAGTTGGAGCATTGACAGTATCGCTAGTCATATTCACAGGTGCAGCTGTACCGCCTGGCACTGGGTCGGTCCCCACAGGCTTCCCCGCCTGATACGCTGCGCCCTCGCCCACCATGCGGTCCTTGTAGGTTTGCGGACCGTGGGAGAGAGTAAAATGCAGGGATTTGAAAGCATTTTCTGCTGGAACTTGTTGAGTGCGCAAATCGAGTGAGGGCGCATCTGCATCTGAACAGTCTGTAAAGAGCACAGCTAGGACCTGCGCAATGCATCATTGGAACTGTCAAGCGCAGACCGTGTACACAGGCACCCGGGCGGGCCCGCGGCATTTAACTGTTGTCGCTCTGATGCATGCACTCTGACTGATGATACACACCGACTCAAGGCGTTGTGGTGGCAGCCGGAAAGGGTCTTCTTTATCCGACGTTTCATTCACCGAAGTTGGCTCCATGGCTGGGAAGCGATCGCCGTTGATGACGATGATAGTATCCGGCTGCGTCAAGTTTGGCCTGGCGGCCTGACAGTCGGTGGGGGTCTGGAAGAAGATTGTCAGTTCGCTGATTGGTGAGGTGCTTCCGCCAGGGGCTGCAGCGGAAGGGCTGACCACCGCCATCTCCAGCGCCGCCACACCCTCAAACTTGTGCAGGTATACCACGCCGGGCAGCAGCTCTGCTTCGTAGGAATAGTGGGTGACCAACCCAGCCACGTCTGTGTGCTGGAAGCGGTGGCGGTGGATACCATCGTCCGAGAGCTGCGGACTGGTCTCCTGCGCGGCGGCAGGCGCAGCGGGGGGTGGCCGGTGGCTTGGCAGTCATGGATCGGCGCTCTGTAATCACTCCCTTCTCCTGAGTTATGCTTGGCCCTTTGCAAGCGCTGTGCACATGAGACCGTCTGCGTGACGCTGTTTGCGTCGAACCAATACCCTAGGGGGGGGGGGGGGGGGGGGGGGGCTCCTATCTCACTTGCAGACCACGGCGCAGTGCTTCTCTGTCTGCAGGGTGCGATGAAATCGCGGTTTCAACTTGGGTTGCTGAAGCGGCCAGCACTAGGGCTATCAGGGCGGCGCCCCAAGCGCAGCGCCCCCCCCTCGACGTCGAGGAAGCTCTCATGTTGACATTTCGTTGATTGTGCGATCAAGGCCTCAATTGAGGGAAAACCGAAACATATGTAGTGCCTTCCTCCAACGCACACCTAGTCAGCACGTGGGATCGACCTGAATGCAATTCAATTGGCCGGTTCAGATCGGCAGCTCTGCAGTGTGGGGGATTACAAGGCCGCCATGCTCCGCTCCGTCGGAAAAAACATGATGTGCAGTGCTGCTGCCCAGCAGCGAATGCAAGCGCGTCCCAGAGGGTGAGCTGAAGCAAAGGGTGTGTGCGTGCGTGCTGTGGTGGCGCCTGGTGCAGGCATCACAGGGAGGGCGGCAGGCTGCCCTCTGCCGCCATCAGGTGCTGCAGCAGGTCGTCGAAGCTGGCGCTGGTGCTCAGCCCCGGCATGTGCAGCTGCAGGGCAGGGCAACAGGCACAGGTGGCACACGTGGCTGGCTGTGGGCAAGGCTCGCCGACAGCAGTGTGCGCAGCGGGGCGCCAGCAGTGCGCACAAGCAAGCGGCAACGCCTGGCTGCACGGCGGGGCAGTGCGGTGCCCTGCGCCGCCCACCTGGTTGGTGGGTATGCCTCTGCCAGCGCCATCTTGTGCAGCAGCATGGCCACCTCCATGGAGCCTCCCAGCGAGTAGCTGCACAGGAGGGGGGCACGTGGGGCATGGGTGACAAGAGAGAGAGAGAGAGAGAGAGAGAGAGAGAGAGAGAGAGACTCGGGGTGGGCAGGGTGTGGTGAGCAGATGTGTGGTGAGGAGGAGGGTGGCTGAGGGACGGCCAAGTGTGTGCGTGCGTGCGAGTGCGCCAGCAGGGGGCGTGCAGCAAGCAGGGACGCCCACAGCAGGGACTGGCAGCAGCAGGCCCACACACAGCAGGCCCGCATGGAGCGGCGCCGCACCTGGCTTTGCTGGCCATGCTCCTGCCGACAGTGCAGGTGAAGAGGTACTTGGGGGGCAGCTTGAAGGGCAGGCTGTCGGGCCCCTGGCCCTGCCCGCTGCGCATGCCCCCGCCGCCGCCGCCGCCCCACTGCCGCCCATTCTCGCCCCCGCCGCCTTGCCGCCCCGCCTGCTGCTGCTGCTGCTGCTGCTGCTGCTGCTGCTGCTGCTGCTGTTGCTGCTGCTGCGCCTGCGCCTGCTGCTGCGCCTGCTGCTGCTGCTCAGCCTGCTGCTGCACCGCTACCGCAGCCGCGGCGGCCGCGGCGCCGCCGAGCGCCACCTCTGCGCCTCCATCTGTCACCTGCCCCTCTGGCAGCGCAGCCAGGTTGCTGCTGGAGGCGGTGAGGCTGGCTGAGCGGGCCCTGCTGCCGGGTGTGATGGCAGAGGGGAGGTGGTCGATGTCGTGGGTCAGCAGCGTTGTGAGCAGGGCGTCGGCCTGCACAGCGTGGGGCAGCGCGGCGCAGCACGCGCAGCGTGTGGCAAGGTGCGACGGCAGGGTGGCATGACGTGGCAAATGATGTGAAGAACACCACATTGCTTGGGGCAAGCGCAGACCAAGCGCGGCGCAGCAGCGGGGCGCAAGGCGGCTGCGCTCGCGGCTGCCAAGACCCCGCTCCCACCTCCACCTTGCCACCCCCACCCCGCACCTGCTGCTGCGCGGCGGCCGCCCCTCCCGCCCCCGGCTCCTGCCCCTCGAAGAGAGTGAACACGTTTTCGTCGCGCGCCAGGAAGTGCCCCCCCACAAACACAAAGTCGGTCTCCGCGGGGCCGTCGTAGCCTGCAGGGTGGAAAGGATGGGGGCGGGTGGGTGGCAAGGAATGGGGGTGGGTGAGCGGCAGGGTATCGGGAGCGTGGAAAGGACGGGGCGTGGGATGGCGCAAATGCAGCGGTGCCAAGCAGAACAAAGTGCAACCCAAGGCTGTGCGGCGCGGCGGTACCGCAGGACGACACTGTACCGCCCCCTCACCCGCCATGTACTGCAGGATGCGCTCCATGGAGGCGCCCTTGGACACGCCCACGGGCCGCACCTCCACGCTCTTGCTGCCCTGCAGGCCGGGAATGGAGGGAAGGAAGAAAGCATAGAGGTAGAGCATAGAGGGAGGGAAAGACGGGAGGCAAATCGGAGTGGTTTTCAGGCGGCAGGCGGGGGCCGGGGAGAAGGGATGAGTAGGAGGGCACATGCAAGGTGCAGAGGGCAGGGGCTGCAGGTCTGGAGGGCCTAGCGCTCGGTGCACGCACAGAGGAAGGCGCCCAACAGTAACCCACCCACGCAATGCCCAGAGGGGCAGCCAGAGGATGGTCAACCGCAGCACCAACCCGCCCACCCAGCCTCACAAGAACACCCCTACCCCCGCCCACACACTGCCGACCAGGCGCATTGCTGCTGGGCCCCCCTCAGCAGCAGCAGCAGGCATCAACCCCCCAAAGCAGGACCCACCAGCCACCCGCTTCGCCCACCACCACCCACACCCGCCCGCCCCACCGCCACAAACCCACCCGCACGATATCTACGGGCGCGTTGCTGATGGGCCCCGTCAGCAGGTGCTGCAGCAGGTCGCGGGCCTGGATGCGCCCGAACTCCACGTCTGCGCGGGGGTGGGGAGAGGGAGGAGGCAGCAGGAGGGGCTGGTTGGCGCGTGGGGGCGATTGCAGGGGCTGAAGATGCCTCTCCCACTCCACAAGCAGCACGCAGGAACAAGCAGCCCCGCTGACACGACCCCCACACGTAAACCAGGCTCGCCTCCTGCCCCACCCCCAACACACAGCTCTACTCGGCTGTGTAGCTCCGCCCACCCACCCAAACAGGCAGCTGCACCCACCCAGGCACACACTACACACACACACACACGCAGAGACACACACCACCACCACCACACACACATCTCCGCCCGCCCGCCCGCCCACCCACCCGCGTATTTGTAGTTCCAGACAAGAGAGGTGCCGCGCTGCTCCACAAACGAGCGGGGCGTGCGCTCGCAAAAGTACTCAAACACTAGCTGTACGCTCTCCTTCCACTCCCCGCTGCCCGCGTCCATCAGCGTCACCCACTCCTGCCGGGGGGTGGGGGAGGGTTTGGGAGTCAGGGGAATATTTGGGGAGGCAGGGGAAAGGGGCAGGGGCAAGGTGGAGGTGGGAGCGGGAACAAAGGCAGCAGATCAGGGGCAGGGGCAGGAGTGAGGAGCAACGGCAACCGCCAGCCGACAGCCCCGGGGGCGAGAGGGCGGGAAATGAGACGCGCTGCGGCGCAGCCCACGGCACCACCGGGGGCACCAGCCCACCCCCACACTGCCCCGAGCGCCCTGCGGCGCTGCCAGCGCTGCCCGCGCGGCGCGCACCTTGCTGCCCGGCGGCCGGATGGCGGCGCCGTTCTCGGCCGCCAGCCAGATGTGCAGGTCGGAGAAGACCTCCTCCAGCCGGTGCTTCTCGCCGCCGCTGCAGCCAGGGGGAAGCCAGCAGGTCGGGACACGCGGTGTACCGCCGCCAGCGAGCGCGCGTGTGCTTCCAGGATGGAAGGCTCTGGCATGTGTGCACGAGACATGCAATCTGCTGGCTGCTGGCAATCGCTGGCCACGTGCGTGTGTGTTCCTCAGCCAAACCGCTGCTTGCGACTGCTAGCCAGCGCCGAGGCAAGGTAAGGTCCAGGTAGAAAGGACGCCGAGGTCAAAGGATGCGCCCACCTGATCACAACGATGTCAACCAGCGAGTTCTGGCTGAGCGCGGCCAGGCAGGAGTAGGCGGCGGGGTTGACCCGTGTCAGCGCCTGAAGGCAGGAACGAAGGGAGGAAGGAGGCGGCGGCAGGGTCACACACGCCGCCCAACGTGACAGCAGCCGCTGCCGCCCGGCTTGGAGACAAGGAGACGAGCAGCCGGCGATACCAATGACCCGTTTGCCCGACAGCCCGCACCCAGATGGCAGCCCGACAGCCGGGCGTCCCCCCGGCCAGGCAGCGTGTCAAACGAATACCAGTCTATGACTGGTACACCAGCCCAGCACCCAGCCCAGCACCCAGCCCAGCCCAGCACCCGCCTGAATCTGGTCAAAGTGCTTCTTGGGCTGGCGCGGCGCCTCCACCGCCGTGGTCAGCGTGGCGTTGTAGCCCAGCACCAGCAGGCGCCGGCGGCTGCGCTTGTAGCAGCCCACGGTGGCCTCCATGTCCAGCTGCGGGGCGGGGTGGAAACCAGGACGGGGTGGAAAGCGGGGCGGGGTGGAAAGCGGGGCGGGTGGGGTGCGGGGCGGGTGGGGCAATTGGAGAGGCGCTGGTGTGTGCGGATGTGGGTGAGAGGCAGGACCGGGACGAGGCTGAGCGGGAGAGCGGTGTGGGGCGTGGCTGCGAGCAACACAGAGCGCCGAAGCAGCACCGAGCGGCAGCGCTGGAGAGGCGGGCCGCTGGCGAAACCAAGGAAGGAGGAGCCCCAGATACAAGAAAGAAAGCGGGGCAGGCCATGGCCGCTCACCGCGGGCGGGATGTTGCGCGTGCGCAGCTCCGCCTCAACGTGCGTGTCGTTGAGTTCAGAGATGAAGGTGTCGGCCCAGGTCTGCAGGCAGGGAGAGGCGTCAGGAAGGGCAGCAGGGATCAGCAGCAGGGATCAGCAGCAGGGACCAGGGGCGCGGGAGGGGGAGGTGTCGGCCGCCCAGGTCTGGGGACGCAAGGGGGCGGCAGGAAGGGCAGCGGGGGGCAGGGCGGCGTGGGCGGAGCAGGCGCAGCCAGCGCGGCAGTGGACCAGCTGGCCAGGGCTGAAGGAAAGAGGGAGGGCGGGAGGGGAAGAAAGGGCGGCGCACCTGGGCCGTGTGTATCGTCACGTGCATGTAGTTCTGCCGGTGCCGCTCCCGCCGCTCTGCACAGGCAGCGGCGGGGCACGGCGGTGCTGGGGCTGCGCCTCCCTACTACAGGAAGCCGACTAAACAACACGCAGCTACGCCTCCACAGCGCCATGCCTGCCGCCACCCCCTCGCGGCTGCCCACCTGTATCGCTCATCATCAGCGCGTACTCGATGGCCTGGGAGAGGTCGTTGATGTTCCACGGGTTGACCAGGATGGCGCCGGCGCCTGCGGGCCAGGCCCGGGAAGAAAGCGGAAACAGAAAGGGCGGAGAAGAAAAGGGCGAGTTGAGATGAGGAAGGGTGGCAAGGACCGCAACAGCGACCCAGCCCGGCTCGAGGCTGGCTCAGCCCACGGCCGCGCAGCGACGCCTCAAGCCCCAGCCCACCCACCTAGGGACTGCGCAGCCCCCGCAAACTCAGACAGGATGAGCACGCCCGCGTTGTCTCGCTGGCAGGCCACATACTCGTAAGACACTGCAGGAGGAAAGGAGGAAAAGAAAATGATGCGGTGTGACGAGGGGAGCGAGGACAGAGGAGGAGCCAGGGGTGGGACAGGCGGGCGGCGGAGGGCAGGGGAGGCGGCGTGAGTGCCTGGGCAGCAGGGCCAGCAGGGCAGGGCAGCGACCCCAGGCGCATGCCCCCAGAGGCTCCCTTCCCAGCAAGGCCCATCACCAGCACATGAACACATGCACTCCACACCACTTGTACACACCGCCCCGCCGGCGCACCCACCCAGGTTCATTCCGTCCCTCAGGGAGGTCACCAGGGCCACGTCTGTGATGGCATACAGCGCCACCAGCTCGTTGAAGCTGAGCTGCCTGCGGGGTGGAAAGCGCGGGAGGGAGGGAGTGCGGCGGGAGGAGGAGGGGAGAGGGCGTCAGCAAGCAAGTGGGGTGTCGACACGCAGCTGCCAGGCTGCTGTGCCCTAACCGTTACGCTGCTGTGTCCAGCTGGCGTCAGCATGCCACACACATCTGCTCAGCACCCCCACTACTTTGACTACAACTGCTCCCGCCCACGCACGAGCCCCACAGAAAAATACATACACCACCACCACCACCACCTTTCTTTTCACCAACTTTCTACCTGTCCAGGTGGTAGATGGGCACGTGGGTGAGGGTGCCGTACTGCCCGTTGATGCGCCCCACCACCTCGTGCACCATGCTGCGGGGAGGGAAGGACGGGAGGGAGAGCAAAGTTGGGGTCAGGTAAAGTGTGTATGTATGGGTGCTTGGGGTGGTGGCGGTGGCATGCTGGGTGACACAGCGCAGTTCAGAGCTGGGCTCCACCTGCGCAGCCGCTGGTACTCTGGCACGTCGGTGCGGGACGGCACCGCAATCTGCACCAGCAGCACCTGCAGCACCACAAAAAGGAACACCCCGGGACGGGGCGGCGCCGCGGCGCTCAACAATGCATTCAGGTGAAAGGCTTGCTTTCAAGCCCTGTGTCCTCGCCTGGCTGCAGCCGCCACGACCATGCGAAGCCATGCGCACTTCCCCAGGGAAGCAAGCTGTACCACAGCCACACCCCACCTTGTCCCGCCACTCGGGGTGCTCCTCCAGGAACTTCTCAAACGCCAGCAGCTTCTGCGGGAAGAGAGGAAAGGAGTGGGAGGACAGGAGAGGACGGGTCGGGGGAGGGAGGGGAGGGAGGAGGCTCCGCTGCGCAGCAGCGTTCGAGGGAAGATGGTCCCTTACAAAAAGCAAGCGTGCGCAGGGAGGAGGCCTGGGAAGAAAGCACGGCGCACCTGCGGGATGCCCTTGATCATGTCCAGCCGGTCCACCCCCAGCATCACCTTGCGCCCCGCATACCTGCAGGGGGCAGGGGCAGGAGGAAAGGAGGGCGGGCGGCGCGTCAGGACCACGGCAGCTAGCCAGCCAGCCAGCCAGGCAAGCAGGGCAGAAGGCAGGGCACGCATAGCAGGGCAAGCTCCGTGAGCCGCGGCGGGATTTCGGACCGCTGCATGGTGGCCCCGGGCGCGCCGCCCATGCCAGCCCAGCACAGACCCTGGCCACCCCAGCCCACCCCTTGGGGAGGAAAGTACGCGCACTCACCTGTTGAGCAGCTGCGCGATGTTGGCCTTCACCTCTGGCGTCTCCAGCGCCTCTGCGGGCAGGCAGGCGGCAGGCGACAGGTGGCAGGTGGCGGAGAGAGCGGAGAGGGAG